GGGGTGCTCCTCCAACCAGTTGGAGAGATCCATCACAACGCCCTTAACGACGACCCACAGGTCCTCCTTTGTGTTGTGCTTTGCGACCTCCTCCATGGAGAACTCCTTCTCGGGAATGGTAAACTTCTTGGGGTCGTTGGGCTTGTCGGCCTTCTGTCCGTTCTGGACGGGTGTGGGGCCTGCTGCCGAGGTGGTCTGTTGGACAGGGATGCCCTGGCCACCAGCACCGCCGGCGTTGTTCCAGTCGATCGTCAGACGGCCAGGCTGGGCAGGGTCGAGGTGCAGCGAGATCTGTCCCATACGGGCGGCAGCACCACCAGCGCCGCTGAGGGCCTGCTGGAAGAGGTAGTTGCTGGCAGTGTCACCGGCAACACGGCCGTAGACGACACAGCCAAGAAGAGAGGAACCACCAAGACGGTTAGCACCGTGGACACCACCAGCCAGCTCACCGCAAGCGTAGAGGCCGTCGAAGGGCTTCTGCTCAGAGTTGAGGACCTGGGCCTTGTCGTTGATCTCGATACCTCCCATGGTGAAGTGGAGGACGGGCTCCATAACGGCAACGTGGAAGGTGTCGTTGATGTCGAAAGGCAGGTTGTGGAAGAACTTCTTGCCCCAAGGGTCCTTCTGCTTGCCATCAGCGATGGCGTTGTAGGTCTGGAAGGACTTCTGGAGGTGGTCAGGCGAGCAGCCAATCTCCTTGGCCAAATCCTGGCCGCTCATCTTCTTCATCAGACCACGGCCAGAGTAGTGGCGAGTGTGGAAGTCAAGAACGTTTGAGGCCTTGGAGTTGAGGACAAGTCTGATAGGGAACTTGTTCTTGTCCTTCTCCTTCCACATCATACCGGAGACGTAGTCACGGTGGCCAAGCTCGTCGCAGAAACGGTCACCGTCAGCGTTCAGCAGGAGACCACCCTCACCACGAAGAGCCTCAGCAGCCAAAAACTTCCACTTGGAACCGGGGTCCTTGGGGTCGACCAGACCGGTAGGGTGGACCTGGACCTTGTCCATGTCAATACCATTACCACCGATGGCCATGACCATCTTCTGGCCATCACCAGTGGCGTGGGAGCCGTTGGTGGTGGCGAGGCCAAAGGTATCGGGACGGTGCTGCTTCAGCAGAGAGGTGTCGCCGAAGTCAGCGGCATAGCCACCAGTGGCAAGAACGACGGGGCCGTCAAGCCTCTGCTCCTCTCCGCCGAACTCGTAGTTCACACCAGTGATGGTGTTTCCCTCCTTGTTCAGGCCGGTGACGCGGGCCTTCTTGATGATCTCGACTCGGTGGGGCTCGGTCTCGGCGAGTTCCTCGAGTCTTTGCATGAGAGCGTAGGTGATGGCCATGCCGGGGAACTTGGCATCGTGACCACGGTGCGTACGGGGCTGGGAGTGACCACTGATGAGAAGTTAGTCGCTGTTGCGTCGAGGGGCGCGCAGCATGCAAACTTACCCTAACCGCGAAACGAGGGTGAGGTCCAGGTTGAAGACATCCTGAAGCCACTCAACGGCAGCAGCGGACTTGTATGTGAGGACCTTAATGAGGTCGGGGCGGGCCTTGTCACGGGCAGACTTCAACGTATCATCGTAAAACTGCTTGACGCTGTCGGCAATCTTGGTGTCGACCTGTGTGCGGGTCAAGGCACCGTTGATACCGGAGGTGGCCTTTGTGGAGTTTCCTCCGAAGAAGCCTGATTGCGACGGAGTCAGTATTGCGACTGTTCGCGGTGCGCAGCGTGAGACTTACCCTGCTTGTCGAGAACAACAACGTTGCCACCAGCGAGGTAGATGGTGTGCGCGGCACTCAAGCCGGAAACTGAGAACACACGTTAGCATGTGACGGCACGCTCGAGAGCGAGGTTGGAGAGAGATGCCACTTACGACCACCGCCGACGACGATAACTCTGGGTGCCATGTTGATTGATTTGTACAGATGCGCTCCAAGAGAAGGGATGGAGAATCAACAAAGAAGATGGGGAAGATGAAGTTTGTGGGGGGAATGGAGGAGAGTTTATGGAGGTCGAGGTTTAAGAAGAAAACGGGGAGATGGACGAGAGCGTGTGAGAGGAGCGTCCCAGTCGCCTTCGTGTCTAAGCTACGCCGAGGGACGATGGAGGTACCTCACGGCAGGGCCAGAAAGGTACGGGGTATGCGTACCGAGTACCTTGCAAACAAAGGGTGTGTTGCTGCGGCCTTGGGCGTGGTGCGGGTGCGGTGGTGCGATGCGGTGCGGTGCTGACACGGCGAGTCGTGAGCCGAGGTCGAAGCGCCTGGGAGGGAACAGGGGGATTAGCACTGGGGATTTTCATGGGACTCGACTGGGCCGCCCGCCGTGGTGCTAGCGGGTTTGGGGCCAGTTTGGGTCTGGGCTGGGGTGCCGTCTGGGGCAGATTGGCGTCACCCGTCGCGGCGTGCCAGTAAGAATGCGCGAGTTGGTAAGGCAGTCCAGCGGTGGATTCGGATCAGGTACTTACAGGGACAGCAGCAGGTCGGACAAAGAGACACCTAGACAATGGGATGCAACCGGAAAACAGAGATTCTGGACAGAAGGGAAGCAACAGCAGCCTGCGCACACGAGGCAATTGACTCCGGCTACGGAGGTTTTATAAATATTTTTGACGACGCAGCAGCAGGCTTAAGGGGGCCCTCTGCCTCTCGCAGCAATTCTGGCCGAGTAGTACCTGGCTTCGCTCCTTTCGGTGGTGGACCGCGAAGAGCAAAACTGGGGGAAGTGTGGGGGGAACACCAAAACTGTTGAAGCTCCTACGGGGCCGCGATACGGGGTACGCAACAGGAAACTGACTACGGCATGCACTGGACTGGATCTGTCTTGCTGTTGTTGCTGGGGAAGCTGGCCACGATGACCAACGGTAGGAGACGGATTGGAAAGAGAGCCTGCTAGAGTGCTACAGTGAGCGAGCGAGTACCCTACGGTCGGTCGCTGCCCGTAGCTGGAGAAGGGATGGCAGATGGCAATTCGACAAGTCCCCTATCCGTATCCGTGGTGACCCGTCGTCGACGTGAGGCGTGCCGTTGAGCTTTAGGTTAGCTCTGACGGGCCACCCGACTTTCACAAGGCAATTGAGACCACGTTGGCGTGGAAGGCCGCGAAGAATTTTTTTTGACAGTTTCAGGCTCTTCGATTCTGACATGTGAAGGTTGTCGGTCACGGTCATGCTCGTGGTCACGCTGACGCTCATGCTTTATCCCAAGCTGAGGCGAGAGCCGCTGCGCTGTCTGTGTATGCGTCCCAAGGTTCCCAATTACCGGAGGCATCCCGTCACGCCGTCACCTCTTACAGCGAGCACAGGCTTCCTGTCCCCACCGCCATGGCACCCGGAACGCCAAAAGGCCAACCAAATGTCATGCCTCGTGTCAAAAACGATGCAGAAGAACCCCCGTCTTTGCGGTGAACAGGTGAATCTTGATAGTGTAGTCTTCAACGCCACCGCCCATTGGAGACAGGACAGTTTCCAAAACCCTCCTCTCCAGCCTTCTTGCAGACGCGATCCGAACAATGCACCAACACTAGAGGCATTGCGGCTGCATCGAGCACCTGTTTGCCCCCTCTCTTCACGGGCTACAGACACACTAAGGTAGTCTCACCCACACAAGCCTCTTCCCCCACACATTCTCCCAAGTGCACCAGGTCAGATGATGCCGGTCCGGAACTTTTAGCACCTGACCGAGGATCTTCCACTCCCACTGACGGTTTCCCCAGCTCGGCCAGCCTGCCACCTGCATTGCCGTCCCCTCTTTTCGGCCCAGCCTGGCTGCCGGGCGACCACTCAGTCTTCCAGCTTGTCCTCCACACTTGTGAAGGACGAGTTCTCTCCGCCTCTGCTCCGTGCCTCCCACGTAAGGTACTACCCTTCCCCCCCTCCGTTCTGGGGCATATTTGGGGGGCATTTGGGGGCTGGAGTTGGAGTAGGTACCTACTTCGAGGCAGGCAGGTACGGATAGCCGTGCAGCGCTGGACAGCCCAGGACAGAGACGGCGCAGAAGCACTTGCATGTGAAAGAAGAGCTCGGGACAGACGTGCGGGCGGAACAGACATGGTCAGATGCTGCTCCTTCACGTCGCCGACAATACAACATCCGACTTGCCACCTGTTCATTCGTTTCATTCGTCTCTTTCATGAATCATGGATTGAATAAACGGTGCTGGAAGTTCGGGTTCCATTGCGCTATTCAAGAGCCAGTGGCTATCAATTTGATGGTCAGCGGTTCTCAGACTTTTGCAATGCGAATTGCTGGTTGGTACTGTTGCGTCTGTTGCTGAAAGCCCTTGCTTGCCTGTTCGAATGTAGCAATAAATCCCGACCTCTTCCCGTCGCGCATCTTCACCTTCTCCGGCCGGCCTGGCAACCCGCAACCTGGCAGTGCCCGTGCATGTGGAGAACAAAATCGAACGAGCCGTCTCCGCAATCGCTGCTCCTGCGAGACAAAAGGCTCCGAAGCCCTTCACGTCTTGAGACAATGTCGTCGTGCTCGGTGAATCTCGGCGACTTCACTCACTTCCCGCTGAGGAAGAAAATGAGGTTCTCGTCGGGCGCAGAAACACCAGTGCAGGCTCGGAATTCATGCGATTTGTACTGAAATGCTATCTCCGCATTTTTAGATGTGTCGCGCAGTTTACTATGCAGTACATCACTACGTCGTAGGCGCAACAGCAGGTGGAAGGCACTGTACACAGCACATCAGGTGATGTCATGAGACATGTAGCCAATCAGAACCTGCAGATTTCCAAAAATCTGGTCCCGTGGAGAATCCAGCCGCTACATCATCCTGCGTAAGGAGCCGCCAAACACCTTTCCAGACTGCGCTGCAGTGACGAGCACCACCAGAGGCTCAATCCAGTTTTGCTGCCAGTGCTCTTGCCTCCGTGAGAACCGCTTGGGACGTTCCTTTTTCTGATCTGACCGTTAGATATCCGGCCCTGAAAGCATCATGAAACGGCCAACCACCCTTCTTGTTCTCCTATCCTGTTCCGTAGCCACGGCGCAGTTGATGAACTTGCCCGTTGAACGCCGCGGTCCGTACGCTCCCCGCATTCTCCGTCAGAAGCCGCTCGCCCCCGTGAACCCTATCGGCCCAGCCATGCCGCCCTCAGACCCCTCCGACTCCCAGCCGCCTCCGGCACAGGACGGCGTCAGGCTCTCCGATGTGATGGGCCGCGACAGGAGCATCAACGTCTTCGCCAGCTTCACTCGCGACATCGAATCCGCTTCTCGCAGGTTAGACGACCAGACTCAGAACACAACGGTGCTTGCGCCGCTAAACTCCGCCGTCGAGAACTTGCCGCGAAAGCCCTGGGAAGACCCCAAGGAGTACCAGCACTTTGGCGAAAGCGCCTATGAGGGTGGTGATGGGCAAGAGAGAGCGCAGAGAAACATTCGCAGATTTGTTGAGGCGCACATGGTCACCGTCAGCCCATGGCCCGAAAACCACAAGGCCAAGGCGATAGGTGATGATAGAGATATCTGGTGGGAGAGTAAGGACGGCACCAAATTTGTGAGTACCCTGGTTCATTGCTTGTTTTGCGCAATCACTGAGTGTACCCTCAGATCCAGCCTGGCAACATCGAGGTTATCAACGTCGCAAGCACCGTCGCTAATGGTGAAGTGGTAAGTTTTCCAATTTGCCAGCAAGCCAACCAGGGCGCTCTGGATCACAGACTGATTGGTGCGCAGTGGATCATCAAGGAAGTCCGCAACTATATCTGAGGAATGCGCGACGTGAGCTGGCAGGTCCAGGTATGAGTAGGACGACTGATGAGAGAATGATTGGATACCCGCAGTCTACAAATCAATGGAACATTTATGTCATGTGCTTCTTTGCGCGCCGAGGTGCGGGAGACAATGAGGCGGACGTCGCCGGTGCAAACACGATGAAATGTGAGCGACGCATCTCCAAGGGATCAAGCCACAGGCAAGCTGGTGGAGCACACATCTTCAGGGAACCAGAGCACACGTTTATCGTTACACGGCATACCTAGAGTGAGGCTGTCGTCATGGCATTTTGCGTCACGACCGAGCAAATCGGAAGCATCGCGTATCCGCGGCAAAAAACGGGAACATCAGATGAAATCGCTACTGCTCCAAATCCGGTTAGCGGGTCACAGAGCTTGTTGATAAGATCTTATCTCCACGTGACACGGCAAAAGCCGCACCCGGGCAGGCTCTCTCATTCCAATCAACCAGGAAGGGGTTTGAGCAAGGTGCAAGCTCATCACGAATTTTCCAAGCGTGACGTTATTCCTGATCTTCATTCCCGCCTCCCGAGACCCATCACCCTGATCCTCATGTAGACAGAGAATTAGCTACAGTATCATCAGTCTGTAAGTCTCGCTCGACCAGTGCGCAATCCTCCTCCCCTAAGCTCCCGGGCGACGCAGCAAAGCTTGCGTGGTTGACGATCCAGCCCCCCCTCTTGGGACGCTTGCGCCAACTTCCACAGCCCCTCCTGTCTCGCTATCCTCCCGCATTCGCGTCGCTAACTTTTGCATTCTCAGAAGACGATCGATCTCAGGATGATGAGCGGGAAACCCGCCGGAGAGGGCGTTCTTGATCCCATGGAGGAGAACCGTCGCCTGATGGCCATGGAGGCCGAAAGGATGGAACGACGCGACAAGGAGCGACGTGAACAAGAGCGACACGAACAGGAACAAGCCGAAAGACGACTTCGCGAGGGTTATCCTGCCGGACCTCCCCATCACAGCAATGCCGGCTCGATCCCAATACACCAGCCCGTCGCATCACGCGCCATGGGCGCAATCCACAGCCCTGGCGGTCTGCTGGCAAACCACGGCTCAGGCTCCTCCGGTCCTCCTATGCCCCTCGGCGCCCCAGCCGGTCCCGGCGCAAACTTCGGCGGCCCCCTTCAGCCCGACAACAACAGGCCGCCGCAACACGGTGGCCCGAACAACCCGAATGCCCAGCATCAGATGTTCGCCCCCATCCCACATACGACCGGGCCCCCGAGCAACTCCCTGGGGGCCGCGAACGGAGGCCCCCCTGTCTTTGGCGGACCGCTCCAACAACGCGAAGGCCAACCACCGATGCAACAAGGTCCCTTTGGCGGCGGCGGCGGCGGTAACAGTGGCAGTGCCGGCGCTGGCGCTGCTGGAGGCCAAGGTCAGATGCAGCAGCAAGGCCAGGGCGGCATTGCCCATGGCCAGCAGCCAATTTTGAACGTAAGTCTAAATTTGCTTTATGAATTTCGCTCAACCAGAAGACACCATTTGTTGGCGCGCCTGCTACCTGTGGCTTGACCATCCAAAGTGGAAACCAGTGTGGGCTGGTGCGCCGATACGGCGCAGGTCAGGCAGGATGCATGGCCGCCCCGCGTGCATATTCCCGTTGTCGCCCAGGGTCTCGCGCCTCGCCTCGGCTCGTATTCCGCCTTTGTCTTTCGCGTGTACACTTCATCCGATTGTAATCACTACTGTCGCTTCATTCATCTCATCTCCCTTCGTAATCCAACAATCGAATGCATCCTCCGCGATGGCGATGGGAGAGCACGGCATGGTTCAAGTAACGCTTGGATTTCGGCCTGTAGGGGTTGCGACTAAGATCATGCGCTGACGATGTCTGACAGGATGCCTTGACGTATCTGGATCAGGTCAAGGTGCAGTTCCACGACCAGCCGGATGTCTACAATCGATTCCTTGATATCATGAAAGACTTCAAGAGTCAGGCGTACGTGTAATGAAGATCTTCCTTTACCGTGGCATCGCTGACGATAGTAGCATCGATACTCCCGGTGTCATCAATCGTGTCTCGGAGCTTTTCGCCGGCCATCCCAATCTAATCCAGGGCTTCAACACATTCCTGCCGCCCGGTTACCGAATCGAATGCGGCGCTGGTAACGATCCGAATACCATCAGAGTAACGACACCGATGGGTACGACGGTTCAATCGATCGCTGGCCGGGGCGCGCAGGTCGATGGCGGACACGCGCATCCTGGAGGCGCTTCGCAATCGCTCTTTCCCCAGCGCGGCCCCAATTGGCAGCAACAACAGCAGCAGCCTCAGCACAGTATCGAGAGTCCCGAGGCCAACTTCAGCACGCCTGTCCAGAACGGCCCTGGTGGTTTTGGCCAGCAGGCTCAGAATCTGGCTGCTGCCTTTGAGGCTCAGGGTGCTCAGCAGCGTGGCCCTCAAGCTCAAGGTGCGCACCCTGCCAACTCTCAACAGCCGCCTCGCAACGCGCATACCCCTACTCCGGTCACCGGACCCGCAAATGTCAACGGCAACGCAAACCAGCAGCAACAACAGCAGGCAAACCTTGAACGCCGCGGTCCTGTCGAGTTCAACCACGCGATTAGCTACGTAAACAAAATAAAGGCAAGTTTACCTGCAAAATCCACCCACCACCGCCGCGTCGAATTCTGAGACCTCGCGCGCTAACCACGCTGCAGAATCGCTTCCAGGACAAGCCAGAAATTTACAAACAATTCCTCGAGATCCTTCAAACCTACCAACGCGAACAGAAGCCTATTCAGGACGTGTACGCTCAAGTCACTACTTTGTTCCACACCGCACCGGACCTGCTGGAAGATTTCAAGCAGTTTTTGCCCGAGTCCGCCGGCCAAGCGAAGGGTACACCTGGCCGTCCAGGAGAGGAACAACCGCCTGGTCCTGGTCCGAACCAAACTCCGCAGCCCATGGGTGCACAAAAGATGCCCCCGTTGGGCAGCTTCGCACCCCCGAGTGCTTCCAAGGAGAATAACAAGAAGCGCCCAAGACCCGACAAGCAGACGCCTGTTCCCGCGCCTGCCGTCTCCGAAGTGCCGCCCCCAGTGATGCGAGCCGCACCCGGCGCAGCTCCCCCAACCAGCGCGAACAACAAGCGAGCGAAGCTTGCACACAATAAGGCTCTGATTGCTGATGCGCCAGCGGTCGAGCCGACGTTGACGCCGATCCTACCTGAGCCTCTCGGACCGCCTACGGCTACCACGTCGAACTCAGACGAGATCGCCTTCTTTGAGAAGGTGAAGAAGTATCTTGGCAACAAAACGGCTTTCAACGAGTTCCTCAAAGTCTGCAACTTGTTCAGCCAATCCATCATCGATCGCAACACGGTCTTCCACAAGGGCAGTGTCTTCTTTGCTGCCAACCCTGAACTTATGGGATTCTGGAAGGCTTTCCTGAAGTATGAGCCGCATGATGAGGTCGTCGACAACCGCCCTGCCCCGCCGAGCGGCAAGGTTTCCTTGAGCAACTGCCGCGGCTACGGTCCTAGCTACCGTCTCCTGCCGAAGCGGGTATGTGTCAAATCTAAAAAGAACCTGCGCCTGTACTGACTCTTGAATAGGAACGACTCAAACCCTGCAGCGGTCGCGACGAACTCTGCAACTCCGTCTTGAACGACGATTGGGCTTCTCACCCTACGTGGGCCTCCGAGGACTCAGGATTCGTTGCCCACCGCAAGAACGGATTTGAAGAAGGCCTTCACCGTATCGAGGAAGAACGTCACGATTACGACTTCAACATTGAGGCGAATTTGAAATGCATCCAGCTCTTGGAGCCTGTTGCTCAGCAAATCAGCGTCATGTCGCCAGTTGAGCGTGAGCATTTCCAGATGCCGCAGGCGTTGGCCGGCCACAGTACGTCTGTGTTCAAGCGCGTCTGCAAAAAGATCTACGGTGATAAGGGTCCTGAGGTCGTCAACGATTTGTTCTCGAACCCGCTCAATGTGGTTCCGATAGTTTTGACTCGCATGAAGCAAAAGGATGAGGAGTGGCGCTTCTCGCAGCGTGAGTGGGAGAAGGTGTGGCACGCGCAAGTTGAGAACATGCATCTCAAGAGTCTTGACCACATGGGTATTTTGGTGAAGCAAAATGACAAGAGAAATCTGTCTGCCAAGCATCTCGTCGACGTCATCAAGACGAAGGCTGAAGAGCAGAAACGTCAGCGCAGCCTGAAGGGCAAGGCCCCACGCCACCAGCTCGTCTGGGATTTCTCAGACAAGAAGGTTGTCATCGAGCTTCTCCGTCTGATGATGCTCTACACCGTCAGCAGCGGCCAGCACAGCGTGCCCGAAAAGGAACGCATCACGGAATTCTTTGAGACCTTTATCCCCGCCTTCTTCGATATTCCTGAAGAGGAAATCGAGGGACGCCTACCCAGACTGCAGGATGTCTCGGAAGAGGATGATAACGAAGAGTCTGTCCCGGCGGAGTTGACCAACGGCCGCAGCCGCCGTACCGGTAGAAGGGGTGACTTGCTTCGTGGCGTTCTGGATCCTGGACGTAATGGCTCCAAGCCTCGCGGGCAGAAGGAGGGAAGTGCGGCATCTGGTAGCAAGGAAACTACTCCTGAAGTTGGTTCTGCCAACGAAGAAGAGATGCCAGATGCACCCGAAGAAGGTGCTGGACCGGAAGTGTCCAATGAGCGCTGGATGCCCATCGTTCCTCAGCCAATCGTCACCACAGGCGACGATACTCTGTTGACTGCGGACGGCGAGTTGAAGGCAGATGGCTTCTTTTCCAGGCCATGGTACAACTTCTTCTGCAACCAAACCATCTTCGTCTTCTTCAACGTCTTTCAGACTGTTTACACCAGGCTGAGAGACGTGAAGGAGAGCAAAGAAAGCGTCATCGAGGAGATCAATCGCCAAAGCCGGCCGCGTCCTGCCAAGGACATTGGGTTGGCAGATAACACCCTGAACTACTTTAGTCCTCAGGATGATGCTTCAACGTTTTGGCCAAAGACTCTCGACC